CCAGCAAACAACTAGCCTGTCCGTTAGGAATGGACTAATAGCAAAGAGCAGGTGCCCAAACTGTGAACCTGAAGGTCACTCCCCACTTCTCACCCACCCTCAGGCAGTCCCTCTCCGTCCCCTTTCTTTTTATTAGTGGCAGATGTCTGTCCTCATGTCTCTCAGGAATTGTAGGCTTCCTGAAGGCAGGGGATGTCCTACTGGCGTTGGGTGGCCCTCTAGTGCCCAGCTCAGGCCCTGGCACGCTGTGTCCATTGAATCCGTGTCTGTGGGATGAATCAGGCCCCTGTGAGAGCTCTAAGCAGCACCGCACGTATGGGGGGGTCACCGTCAGGAGCTCCTAAACCCACCTGCCCCGTGCCGCGCTGAGCCAGTGCCGTGCGGAGTCACTCAGCCCCCAGTGATGAAGCCCCCGCGACGTGCAGAGTGGGCCTGGCCCAGGAACGCGACAGGAACACAGTGTCTGCCACAGTCAGACGTCCACGTGTCAGGCATCGGGCCCAGTTGTTACTGTATCAGGCAGATGCACCTTTTGTCAGCCTCGTTCCGGCTGCGATGACCTCTGGGCGCAGGAGTCCTTTAGCGGGACTCAGCCTGGGTTATTAATCACTGAGGAAAAACCACCCCAGAGAAAGCGGGGTGACATGTGGTCAGGGTGTGACCTAAACCCACTATCTATGGTTTCCTCTCCTCTCCAGAAATTTGAAGATGATGTCACCTACTGGCTAAACAGAGATCGGAACGGACACGACTACTATGATTACCACCGTCACTACGATGAGGATGCTGCCATCGGTCCCCGGAGCCCCGACAGCTTTCGGCATGGAGCCAGTGTCAATTACGATGACTACTAACCAGTGTCCGCCTGTGCAGACCCAGACGGGTCCTCTCTCCTCCTAACCCGACTCAGTGGCTCCTGCTGTGCTTTGCTTCAGCAACTCTGTGTGTCCATTTTCTGTGACCAGAAAGGAAGAGTTAAAACAACGAATATAAACGCTTTTTGATAGGTTATGCAAGCACCTAACAGTGTATTTCATTAAAAATAGCAATAAAAGCATTTTGTTAAAAAGAAAAGTCTCAGAATGGATTTGGATGAAAATTAAGCAGGTGACAGTTTTCATCACTGGGGTGTTTGTAGAGTTGAGGAGCCACCTGAGAGGCCCCTCTCTGTCATCACCCCAGCGGAACCTTCCAAGAATCTCACCACCCCCAGGCGACCCTGGGACTCAGCAGGGGTCTTCCTTTTGTTAAAATTCAGTCCACATTAAATGCAAGATATAGAACCAGCCAGGAAGCTTAGCTGAACATTCTTTAAGGTCACAGAGCCAGAGCTGGGCCTGTTTAATTTTATCATCAGGACATGAACAGTGGTAGAAACAACCCTGAAGTTGGGTGATTTCAGAGCCCCGCTGATCTTTATAAAATTAACCTTGTCCAATGACTTCAAGAAAGATTTAAGAGTATATTTCCCATCATACTTCAATCGCTGAGTAAACAAGAGAAAAGTTGAGTGGGGAGGGGAGGGGGTGAGGAAGATGGGTAGGAGATGGGGGCCCCGAAGGCCCCGGGGCATCACTGGTCAGGGGCCTCTGGTCACAGCCTGCTGGGTGCCTGCAGGGATGCTGGGNGACAGTCTGATGCAGCGATTTCCAGCCTTTTTCATCTCATGGCACAGAAACTAATTACTGAAATTCTGCAGCTCAGCAAAAAATATATGTATTTTTGAACTGACAGAAAAATAGGTCTGATTTTACCCATTCAGACAGAATAGCTATTGTGTTGGCTGTTGGCTGTTGTCACTTTTTTATTTGACAATCCAAGGGAAACGAGGTCAGTGCCCCTGATTAAACAGTCAGGTATTGCAAGTTTTAGAAATTCTTGCAGGTGAGAATCACTGTTCTAATGAAGTGTGTTTGTTCTTTCTCAGAAAAATGACGCATAATTTCCCATGTGTCTCTGAAACCAGCCCCACGCAGGAGCCGGGTCACAGAGCCCCCTGGGCCGTAGGAAGCGCTGGCTCGGGAGCCTGTGTGGGGACAATGGTAACACCTCACAGTAGTCACTTTGTTCCTTCCTTTGGAATCCTTACAACTTCTTAAAATTTATGGCAAAACACACATAATACAAAATCTGCCATTTTAATCATTTCAGGGTACAGTTCAGCAGCACTAAGTAGACTCACGTTTGTTTGTTTAATCTTCACCGGAGGATACTTTCTCCACTGATTTTCAGAGAGTGAAAGGGGGTGGGAGGGAGAGAGAAACACCGACGTCAGAGACACTAGATTCGCGTTTCGTGCCCCATCACCACCACCCATTTCCAGACGTTTCCACCTCCCCAAACTGGAACTGTCCCGTTAGATACCAACCCCCTTCCCCTCCCCAGCCCCGAAACCCTCTGTTCTGCTCGCTGTCTATGAACCGGACTATTCCAGGTGCCTCGCATAAGTGGGGTCCTACAGGATTTGTCCTGTTGGGACTGATTTATTCCACTAGCGTACTGTCCTCCAGGTTCACCCATGTTGTGGCAGGTGGCAGATTTCCTTCCTTTTTAAGGCTGAATAATGCCCCATCGCGTGTATAGGCCACACTTTGTGACCCCCCGTCTGTTGATGGACACCTGGGTTGCTGTCACCTCTCGCGATTGTGAAAGTGGTGCGCAACTCTCTCTTTGGGCCCCTGCTTTCAGTGCTTTTGGGTACATGCCCAGAAGTGGGATTATTGGATCATACGGTAATTGTTTAATTTTTAAGGAGCAGCTACACGTTTTCCACAGCAGCTGCGCTATTTTCCATTCCCACCCCTAAAACTCCTGTTTCTTCTCGACCACCCCTGGGCTGGCTCAGCCTCCACCAGTGTTTAGGAGGGAGAAGGTGACGAGAGGACGTCTTTGCTTCATTCCCAATCTCAGAGGGGTGCNTGTCTATGAACCGGACTATTCCAGGTGCCTCGCATAAGTGGGGTCCTACAGGATTTGTCCTGTTGGGACTGATTTATTCCACTAGCGTACTGTCCTCCAGGTTCACCCATGTTGTGGCAGGTGGCAGATTTCCTTCCTTTTTAAGGCTGAATAATGCCCCATCGCGTGTATAGGCCACACTTTGTGACCCCCCGTCTGTTGATGGACACCTGGGTTGCTGTCACCTCTCGCGATTGTGAAAGTGGTGCGCAACTCTCTCTTTGGGCCCCTGCTTTCAGTGCTTTTGGGTACATGCCCAGAAGTGGGATTACTGGATCATACGGTAATTGTTTAATTTTTGAGGAGCCGCTACACATTTTCCACGGTGGCTGCACTATTTCCATTCCCACCCCTAAAACTCCTGTTTCTTCTTGGCCACCCCTGGGCTGGCTCAGCCTCCACCAGTGTTTAGGAGGGAGAAGGTGACGAGAGGACGTCTTTGCTTCATTCCTAATCTCAGAGGGGTGCTTCCCATGTCGCCCCATAGATTGTTTGCTTTATATTTTTATAAATGTCTTTTATCAAGTTAAGGATACTTCTTTTAAAAATATGCTGAGAAATTTTTAATGTCATATGTGGATGTTGAATTTCAGATTCTTTATCTCCTGAGATAATGTAACTTTTCCTTTTTAATTAATGTAGTAAGTTCCACCAATGAAATTCTAATATTAATCAGCTGAATGCCTGGAATGCACTAACTGGACCATGACTTTTCAGTCTTTGTTGGGTCTGGTTGGGTTGTGCTGGTCCAGGTTCTTTGCATCCATGTTTGTGAATGTTTTCTTTTCCATTCTCTGGGTAAGAATGGAATTGTCTGTTTTCCAGACATTCAGCACCATTTAGACAGCACCACCTGAGTGAGGTGCTTTCTTCATGACGAAATGTCTGACTATTGCTTGCATTTCTTTTACAGTTAAAGGATTATTTTAATTTTGTTTTTCTCCTTGATCTGTTTTGCGAAGTTCTATCTGTCTATGTCACCATCCATTATGTCAATGTTTTGAAGTGTNTTGCGAAGTTCTATCTGTCTATGTCACCACCCATTATGTCAATGTTTTGAAGTGTGTTGAGAATTGTCCTTAATATCCTCTTATCTGTTTTTCTCGGTAGCATCTGTGGTAATGTTCTTTTTTCACATTCCATTTATTTGTGCCTTTAAAAAAATGAGTCTTATCTTTTCCAATATGCAGTTTCTGCTCTGTTGATCTCTTCTTTATGTGCTCCTCTAGCTCATGAATTTCTGTTCTTTTAATTTCCTTGCCTCTGCATCTATGGGTCTTTAATATTAGATCTCAGTTCCATTTTGAGCCTTATTTTTTAAAGAACCAGCACTTTAAATTGCCTTCCAAGTATTGTATCCCATAAGTTGGATGTGAAAAGTTGCATGATGAAATATTCTAATTTCAATTCTAATTTCTCCTTTGACCCATGAGCTGATTGTAAGTATTATTAGATTTCCAAGTGAATGTATTTTTAAATTACCTTATTGGCTTTGTTTTCTAGCTTAATTGCATTGTAGTAAAAGACAGTGTGATCGGTTGGACCCCAACCCTTTGAGTATACTGAGGCCAGCCAGCTTTATGTCCAGGTGCGTCAGCCTTGGCCATTGCTCCAGGTGAGCTTGAAAGGAGCATGTCTTTCCTGGACATCAGAGGCAGTCAAGTCCATTAGCCCAAGTTCCAGAGTTACACGGGTCACATTTTCTATTTTCTTCCTTTTCAGGGATCCACTGGTAAGTGTGTAAGAGCTGATGGATTGGACAAGTTTTTCCTTTACTCCTATCAGCCTCACTTTGTAAGAGGCTAGAGGGAAATTCAGGAGGTACACAGAAATTTAGAAATCATACGTCTTCCCAGTGAACGGAATAATTTATCATTATGCAGCAAATTCCCTCATTTCTATAATGCTTTTTGCCTGAAATCTCCTGACACGCCTTCTTTTGGTTACTATTTGCCTGGTCTATCTTTTACATAATTTGGCCTTTATCTTTGTGTTTTTTTTTTTTAACTTTCATTTATCAATTATAGCTGACAAACTTTATTATATNCTGTGTTGTTTTTTTTTAACTTTCATTTATCAATTATAGCTGACAAACTTTATTATATTAGTTTCAGTTGTACCACCCAGTGATTAGACATTACATAACTTACTAAGTGATCATCCCAACAAATCTTGCATCCATCTGACCTCATCCATCATTATTAAAATATTATTGACTCTATTCCCTATGCTAACTTTACATTCCTGTGACTATTCTGTAACAGCCCATTTGTACTTCTTAATCCGTTCACCGTTTTCTCCCATCCCCCCAACCCCCTCCTGTCTGGCAACCGTCAAAATGTTCTCTGTATCTATGAGTCTGTTTCTGTTCTGTTTGTTCATTTTGTTTTTGATTCAATTGTTGATAGATAGGGATTTATTGCCATTTTGTTGTTCATATTTTTAATTTTTTTTCTTCTTCTTAAAAAAGACCCTTTAACATCTCATGTAATAATGGTTTGGTGGTGATGAACTCCTTTAGCTTTTTCTTGTCGGGGAAGCTCTTTATCTGACCTTCAGTTCTAAATGATAGGTTTGTTAGGTAGAGTAATCTTGGCTGTAGGTTCTTGCTTTTCATCACTTTGAATATTTCTGGCCACTCCCTACTGACCTGCAAAGTTTCTGTTGGGAGATCACCTGACAGTCTTATGGGAGCTCCCTTGTAGGTAACTTAACTGCTTTCCTTGTGTTGCTTTTAAGATTCTCTCTTTGTCTTTAACCTTTGGTATTTTAATTATGCTGTGTCTTGGTGTGGGCTTCTTTGGGTTCCTCTTGTTTGGGACACCCTGTGCTTCCTGGACCTGTATGTTTATTTCCTTCACCAAGTTAGGACATTTTTCTGAGATTTTCTCAAATAGGTTTTCAATTTANGTAATTATGCTGTGTCTTGGTGTGGGCTTCTTTGAGTTCCTCTTGTTTGGGACACTCTGTGCTTCCTGGACCTGTATGTTTATTTCCTTAACCAAGTTAGGACATTTTTCTGAGATTTTCTCAAATAGGTTTTCAATTTATTGCTCTCTCACTTCTCCGTCACCCCCATGATATGAACATTGGTAAACTTGAAGTTCTCTTAGAGG